CCATAGACATAAAACCAATCTGTCAGTCATATGTAGGCAGATTTCTGTGAGATTATTGTAGACTTGTTCATACTTTAAATATTACAAGTCCCAATTCAATGATACCATGGTGGGTTGGGGTGTCAGTCAGCATCAATATTTGGTCATTCTTTACTGAGTGTACAATAAGTATAGCATAGAGAAATTTAATAGTGATCCACTTCTGACAGAAGCCATGATAATTGTAGGTCAGTGGACCAGTGATTCCCTCAATAACAATATTATCCAGAAAGAGATCACTCTCTCATACCAGATATGAAGATGTGGTGTTACAGTATGAAGTGTAAGCCATGGCTCTTTAGTGTACTTTCTGTCATTTCTTTTAGCAGAGATCCATCAGGGTGCAATAACATCCTATTACCTTGTGTACTAGAGAAATTCTCCTCACCCAACATTCTTCTCTTCAAGTGCCTCCATTAACCATAGGTTATCCTATGATTTAGCCATTAGCCACAGCCCAACATAACCATTAGTTATACGAATTCATATTACATATTGCATTACCAGTTGCATAAAAACCACTGCAATTTGTCCGCAGATTTTAAATTTGTGCTTCCCTCTCAATCTTCCCTTATCCCTGTTGCTTGATGTGACTTGCTTAGTTGGTTTTGGAGGCCAGTTTGCTGACAAAATATAACCAGTTGTCGTGCTTATTTATGGATTTCTGCTACATTTATTCCTTGTGTAGAAATGCACTGTTTTTCCAGGATCACATATTTAATGGGTGTGAATGTATTGGGTAAACTAACATTAAGCAATTCTAGATAGATGTGCACACTTCTTTGAACCCACAGCCGAGGTGAGGGAGTTCCAAGAAAATACAGACAGGTTTATCTGGAATCCCGTTCCCAAGAGATTAAAACAAGGCAGGTTATGAACACGAGTTGATAAATTGCCGCATATTTTGCAACATTGTATTCCTGTCATCAAATCCTGTGAAATGGTTCATGCCATACACGTCTGTTAGACCATAACCCTACCCTGCTACCTTTAGGCAAGGGTGCAGGAAAACAGTCACCGCTGACGCACACGTTTCCCCAGCCCAAGTTCATAACATTACAGAATGTGATGATGCAGCAGTGAATCGACAGGATTCTTGTACCCGAACAACATCTGTTTCATGTGAGACATGCAAAGGAAACACTGATAAAGTAGAGGGGGTAACATTAATTCAGTGTGTAATAAATATAAGAGTGATAAGGAGTAGACCAAGTGAAAGGTGGAGTGAGGCAAAGCATGTTTAGTTGTATTAAACTAGTAAGTGTGGAGTTATAAGGCATCTGCAATTCTGTGCTTACAATTTGGTATTTCCTTTGAAAACAGCACTTCCTTTGAGAGTGGCAGGTAAGTGCTAGGTATAACCTGTAATTGTATTCCTAGAAGAATGTAATTACCCCATTAGCACAAAGTCAGTTACCTTTTACAGTCCTTAGCTGCCTATATAAAGTTTATGTTCTCTTTACATAAAATTTCACATGGAGTGAACACAGAGGCAAAGAGTGTACGGAGAGTGAGAAAGAAGAGACGGAAAGAGAGCGAGGCAGGATGACTGGATTGTAAGGGGGGCATATTACCTCCCACAGGGGCCCTGGCTCAAAGGATCACATTTCAGACGTTTACCAACAAAGCATCCATGGAGGAAGTCTTGCGCCCCTCACAATAACACCACAGCACCTGGCCATCCCCACACAGGAAACCTGAGGTCACTTCCCCCCTTTCAGGGAATTCAGACGCACTCCTGCTGCCAGCCACGCGCCCCCACAGCCTATTGAAGAGGCACATACAACAAACTAAAAACTCTGAATTATGACAAAATATACAGCCATGGCCTTATGATTTTCCAGGGTTTCACTGATACATGAGAGTTGTGTGCCAGACAGGTTTTGTAAACACCAAAGCAGAGTTTCCCTTTTTTGGTCTCACATGTAACGCAGATGTGATGTTTTTTTAATCATTTTGAACAGCTAAAAGCTGGATTGGGTTGCATTGTTTAATTCTGGTTGGAACCACATGAGTAAGAGGTTGAAAACAAGGTATGCACCCTAATAGCTGTGCTGGAATGTTCAGGAATGTCAAAATTTTAGCAAAAATTAGGACACCAAGACACAAGAAAGAAAAAAGTAAGAGAACAAGAAGTTGATGATTAGAGAGAGACCTCATATATAATTTAGAATTTTACAAACATGTTTGAAACACACAGGAATCAGAGTCCATCAGATATGACCAGCAGTTTGGAAACTAAGAATGAAAACCTCCTGACTGAATGTAGGTTTGCACAGAATGTGGCAAAAAAGCAAGGGAAACAATACAAACTGTGTCCCGTGTCCTCATCATGGAGGAAAAGACAGCTGCAGAACGTGAAAAGAGAACGGCTTCAACACAAATCTAAATTCTGCTCCCTAACCACCTGCAACCACTTGACCACTGATTCTCCATCATTATCGTTGGCCTGGTTTCAAACGATGCCAACCCATAAAACCAGCCACAACCAGTCCGAGTCATTTAGTTGCAGTTTAGAGCTGGCCAGGGTCCAACCACCACGCGGGGCTAACCTTTGGAAAACACACTGAGACCTCTGAAGAATGTGACCATGGTCACTGAAACAGAGAGGAAGGGAAGAAGAAGAAGAAAGCAAACAAATACATTATACAGTCAAGTCTGTCAAGGCAAACTTCCCAGATGCTAAATGGGACAGAATGAGTGGCTTTTGGCTCCTAGGGGGTTATTTCAGCTTGTTACTGTGACAAACAGTTTGTGTAAAAATAACCTGTCAGTGGTGAAAGTACAGTGTGATGCCTAAGAAACCAAATTCTTCCAAGGTGTAATTTCTGTAGTAACAGACAGAAAATAGAGGTTTGGGAGCAAACTCTCATGATGGGATGTGTGAATTTGAAGCCTTCAACTTCACTTTTGCATTATTCAAAACCTATTTTTTGCAATGACGATGACATACAGTTTAAGGAACTGAGTGGTTTTATATTAGAAATGTTGTATTGGGGCACCCTGGTAGCTTACCTGGCCGAGCTGGTGCCCCCATGAACAAAGGGCCTTACTGCAGCGGTCTGGGTTTGAATCCAGCCGTTGCCCTTTTAAGCCTGTCATTCTAAATCACACCTGCCCGAAACTCTGTATGGTAAAGATCAATTAAAGCTTCACTATCACACTTTTGGCTGTTTTGTTTCTCACCACTCTCGTCAACTTTATTTTTCAGCAGCATCGTGCAGTTGTTTTCAACAAAAAAATGCTCCAATAAATCCACAGCCCACTTCTTGTCAAGAACTAAACACGGGAGAGACAAAATTAAAAACTGGCTGGTGAACAAAAGCTAAAAGGCCAGATATAACCAAATAAATTTTAAATTTAAACTTAAAAGGTGATGATATGACAGTATTAGGTACACAGCATATTTCTACAAGTGGCCAAAAGAACAGCTATTGCCGGTTTAAAGAACTAAGGATTTTTATATCAGAATTTTTCAATTCATACCTCCTTTCTAATTCAAACCTGGCTGCATAAGGTGACTGAAAATGACTGAAAGCCATACCTGACTGACTGAAATTAGTTTTTTTTTTTTTTTTTTTTCCTATCTTAGACCTTGAATGTTTATACATTGTCGGAATAGTGGGCAATGTGCTTAAAATGAACTCTGAAGCATAATAAAATCTTAAAAAGATCTTACATAATCTTCTATTTGTGTGTCTGAATGCCAAGCCATGACATGAAAGGTTCTTCAAAACTGGACCAAACATCACATATCTTTTAGTGGCAGACGAGAGGTGATATTTTCCCAAGAAAACATGTAAGATCTTGATCAAATTTTTCCATTTGGCAAGCACATTACTTTCCCACATGCACCCATTGCACCCAAATGATGCAACAAGTGAAAAACTAAACAATCGTCATAAGGATGACCCTACTACTATGCACTGTGATGTGATAAAGCACGCCCAAAACAAACCTAGAAGCTGCAGCACAGACACACCCTTCCGCGACACACGCTGCCATATCCCACTTCCTGCTGCCGGAGAAAAGACAAGTTTAGCCCTGAGGGACTTTGCTCTCTGAGGCCTTCACACACTGCTCAGCTGGGAGCTCCTGTGACAACAGTTGTTCCTTAATCCTTCCTCCACACAGTTCAATGGGTCACACAGTCCAATACAGTCCATTCCTCCACTGATGAAATGTTGTCTATTTGCCTTACATGTACATGTGTGTGTAGATTATAATACAGAGGGACATAATTGGAGGTGTCAAACTGTGATTAGACAAAAAGAAAGAGACATAAACAGGGAAAGCAGAAAAACACATGGGCAGACAGAAAATGTCCTGACTCCCTCACTCGTCACAGGAAGTGGTTCCTCTTTTGTAAGAGTTTTACTTTGCAGGCTTCACCCCAGGCAGCATGTTTGACTAAGGTGTAAAGTATTAAGGCATGTCATGATGTCAAGCCCACGCCTGCTTTCATCTTTACACTCACAGATTTAAACAGCCAAAACACTTAAAATCAAAAGTATTGAGTAAACCTGATCTTAATGTGTTAAATTATACATTCATAGATTATAATTACTGTAACAGATACTAACTGCACTACTACTACTACTACTGATACTACTACTAATGATGATGATTATAATAATAATGATGATAATAATAATAATAATAAGGCAACAACTTTTGCCCCAAACACTGTTTCCATTAATTATTATTATATTATTAATTATAGATTTAAATAGTAACACTTATCACAACGTTTGAGGTTAACAGACTTAAGTGTCATTCATCTTCATTTGAAAAACTTAGCAACAACTTTAAATGACATCAGAGATACATAGTTTATTTCTCCATCATCTTTCCTAAATCAATATTAAACGTCAAAAGGGTGAAAGGTGTTCGAAGACACACTGAAAACGTTACAAAAAAAAGTCTAGATAGGTATAAAAAAAAAAACCAGAAAGTCCTACCAGGAGTAATGTCTGAAGTCTGGAGGCACCTTCTGCAACACCAGTGGTAACCCGCCTCCCTCTCTCTGTCAGCAGACACTCGCTCAGATCAGGGCTGGGATCAGTTTGCAGGTCGCTACTCCGGCGGCTCAGGAGCGTCGCCCTCCCGCAGTAAAACTTTGTGTTTCTTCTGACAGTAGTCAAAACCTCTGTGGCGGAGACTGATGCAGTTTGCCGGCTACATTTGTTCTACTACTGAGGAAGTTGCCTGTGAGTCACAAGATCCCGCCCCCCAAAAAACACCATTCCTCCCTCCCTCTTTTCCAGCGACTTCAAACGAGACCAGAGAGAAGTGCAGGCAGTGGAGGGTACGTTGGGGGGCTCCCGGCAGGCCCCTCCGTCTCTGGTGCCGCTTATTTTCAGCCTGTTATGATAGAATTATGTTTTATTGGTGAGTATTGGTGGATAGGCAAAGTCTGCTTTTCATTAGGTTCCTGAAATAAAGTGTGGACCCCTAGGTACTTTTGAGCTTCTTTCAATCAGCCAGTCAACAAATGAATAAATTAAGATAGACAATGAAAAGTTTTTAGTGATATAAACACCTGAAATCTATCTGCAAACAAACTAGATTTCAAAATAATAAAACGTGATGTTTTTATGCAATTCCAAAAAGCACTCTGATACTGGTCTTTTGCTCAAAGCTGGGTGTTGACCAAACTTTCATGGTAGTGGAGCGTACTCCCTCCTGACCCACAGCTATAAAACAGTGAAAATGGTGCAATTATTTTTTTAACAATTAATACATCCTGGAGTTTCATGTGAATCACTGATGGTGGATTACATGGGTTTTGGCCACACTTTGCTTGGAAAGTGTGAATCTTTTACTTTCAAATGACCACTGAATGTAGGTAAGAAAAGAAAAAAAACCTCCAGGATTGGCTTTAGACTTAGAAATATGTTGTGTAGGTGTTAAGTTGAAGGATAAGCCCAAGTTAAGGTCAGGGTCAGGGCTACATATTTTGTATAGATTCTTTTTTTCGTCCTTGGTGTTGTTTAGACTAAATGTTGTTTCAGACAAGATAGTATTCTGAGAGAACATTTAATAAACGTAAATATTTGAGCATTAAATTGGTGAAATTGAACGGCAGCAAACAGCCTCCATATAAAACAACACATAGCTACAGTGTTAGTGTTCAATCTTCCATGTCTCTCTGTATTTACTGTGCTCTTAAATGGCCTTTCTTGACCATCCTTTCTACTTTCTGGCATTACTATACAGGGTAAAGACCAACCCAGTTGTTTCACTTCCCTATATTTTACAGTGTAGATCCTTTCTCCAGTCCTCATGCTTGTCATGACTCAACCAGTTGGAGTGACGTTTATCCTGGATGCAGCTGGCTGCCGTTTTGTCATACATGAAATGATTATTCATTTGAGTCATAATTGTATCAGTCTGTGCCCACCCTATTAAAACACAATATTGTTGGCAGAAACACCACCCCATAGGTTAGACAGCATTGTTCTACTGTTTTCCCAGGACTCTAAGGAGTAAAAGTGGTTGCCAGTATCCAGCTTACTCACCATGTACTCGCTGTGGTTGGTGTTATCTGCTGTTACTCAAACAGAACAACACTAGTTTGACCCATATGACACTTTGTAGGCTGATACCAAGACTGTAGTCATCCAGACTAAAAAGAGAAAAATATCTACAAGGCCAATTCAACTATTGTCCTACATACACTTAAGGCGGGTTTATGCTCAAAATCAACTAGCTCCTACGATGTGTTATCCAGCCGGGCAAAATAGGTATTCAAGAAGACCACAAAGGAAGGCCAGAGGAAAAGTGTGCCATCACAGAGAGGGACAAAACGCTTTAGGATCCTGGATGTAATTCATAATGTTGCACTCATGTATACACAACAAGTGTCAGAAATAGCTGCGTGAAGATTGAAAAGGAGCGCTTGCGAGAGAAATTCAAATCCTGCTTCCCCACTTACCTTCGTACACCTGGCCAATCTTTGCATGAAGTGGGTGTGAATGTCCACCACTGTCTGTTGGACTAACTACATCACCATTGTTGGATTATACCTTTTAACTCTTGTGTTAGAAGATTTATATCATTCTAACGTTCTGTAAATTCCATGAAGCAGAAATAAAAGCATTAAAACACTCTTTTGTAAAGGTCTGATTTTAGAAACATAAATACAGCTGCAAAATGTTATACAAATATCTCATTGAACATGGACTTTTTTACATAACTGCCTGAACATGTGACTCTTATCTTTCATGGTCCTGTGACAAGTGAAAGAGTACTGGTGTGACCCCTGTATTCCCCACAACCCCCTAATTATAAAATTCTAATTTTACACGAGGCGTGGTCCTGTTAGACTGCGTGCAACAAATTAGAGGATAGGTGCCTGTCAATTCATCAAGGCAAAAATGGCCTGATGACTCCCTTACTGTTTTCTTCATCGTAAAAAGGTTAAGAGTAGCTCTTCTTACCTACTACATCAAACATCTCTCTGTTTTAGTTTTGAAAAACAAGTTAAAAGGTTAACAAGGGGTTAACTGAGTAATCAGCTCAAAGGATGAACATTTACACTGAAGAGAACATAACATTTTTTTCTATATAAAGTGTCAAAATGGCCCTTTAAATGGAAAAACGGATCAAATTTAACTTTATTTAAGATGTTTTCTACCCAAGGCAAAGAATATAATACAATTTAAAACATACTTTATCTTTTGAAGCATCGTGTGGACAGTGACGATTACGTCTCAGGTGACTGTCATGCTCTGCTAAATGAAATTAAAATTAGTGCTACACTGTAAACCTTCAACTTTTTCTTGGATGTTTCGGAACACCTGAGTGAAATTAACTGTAATGAGCATCATGGCCCTGAGCAGAAGACTAATGAGGCAATTACATTGTACCACTTAAGTTATAAGTAGGTATTACTTGTAACAGAATGTGTCTGCTCTCACCACATGATGGTGAGTGGAAATTGTGGCATGCTGCTATTATGTGACAAAAACAATAAAGTGGTGTAATGCACAAAACAAAGACAGTATCAATACAGAAAATACATTTACAGTGTTTTTGTAGCTTTAGTGAGAAGATGATACAGGGGGAGGTGTGGAGTCATAAGCTCCAGACAAACCATGAACTGAAAGATCCTTTTGATGATGTTGGTGATAATAGTTTTTTTACAGAGCACTTGAAGCATACTTTGCCTCAACCCATCCACTTCTCGCCACTTCACCGCTGTGATTGTCTAGAGTATAAAACAGGTCAGGCTACAATATACACTTCAAAACTCAAGCAGGGAAAATAAGCACTGTATTGGCACTTAATTGTAGACAATTTCTGTTTTACAGGAGTTTGTGGTTAAGGGACTATGGTGAGAATCCCACCCAAGAGTGCACCTACTGTATTGCTGGGGCATCGAGAGGTCCAATAACCTCTGGTTGAAGTATTCAGATCCTTTTCTTGATTAAATGTAGCAATACTACAGTGTGAAAATACTTTGGTGGAGCTAGTTTTAACTACTTTATACTGTACTGTGTTTAATCTTTTCTGTAATCTTTGCTTTTTGTGAAATATACACTTTTACCTGTTACCAGTTATTTTAATTCAATCATCTGAGAAGATAGGTACACACAGCTGGTAGGGTTAGAAGGCAAAAAGGTTTGGAATACCTGGTGTAATCCTTGAAAATGCATTGTACTTCAGTACTACTATCAGTTTACCATATGTCTCTTTATGTAAATTCATAATCTGAAATGTCATGAGTAAATGTAGCTGTGTGCAGTGGTATAAAGTCGCAGAAAATGGGAATGAGTTAAGTATTAGTACCTCAAAACTGAGTCATTAAGTAACTAGTAATTAGTTATGTTCCACTACTCTTAATAATAACTGATTTATTTAGTGAATTAAATCTTATTTAAATCTGTCTGATGTTATTCTGCCTTGTGTGCATTTTAGGATATGCAACTAAATAATAATCACACAGGAGGAACTTCTGGCTCATGCATTTTTCAACTGGGCTGGCCTGGCGGCTCGCTGCAGATGAGGACCAACCATGGTCAGAGGAGACATACCAAAGCCCTGAGCTCAGCCCAAGTGCAGCAGTCTTACAATATGTCAGCAGTGTTATTTTTACAGGGCCATATTAGAAAACCAAACGGATCTGCATCTGCCCCACAAGGGCATTCCTCCATTGCTGACCCTGAGCAAACCCACAACCTCTTGTCCTCCTGCTCTTGCATCAGCTTGTTACAAGCCCCTGATTTCCAAAGTAGTATTTACCCCTGTCGTGGCTCACCAGGCATTTCACTTGTAATGATAAATACTCCCATGAATTAAACAGCAAGGAGCCAAGTAAGTCAGAACGCAGACATTTAACCCGTAAATCCTGGTTGCCTTCTGTGTCTGCCTATACACGTTAAAGTGTGAGTGGATCAGTCGAGCCATGGCCTGAAACCTTTCACAGGAATCGGAGTCATTAGCCATCAGACTGATAAACAAGCCTGTGACATAATGTGGAAACACTGATCCCATTCATAGGTCTAATCACCCACAAAACATTCTGCATGCCGTGCAAATCTCACACATATAAAACAAATTCCTTGCGGTTGGTGGGGGGATAGTAAGTAGCCATGGGGGGAAAATGGCTGTTTAGTGGAATATCACTCTCTGTCCTACTGGCTTCTTCTCACATCCACAGAGAGTTGGGAGTCTGGGTGAGATTAGGGAACTGGTGCCGTTGCGGCTTTGTCTTTGTCTACACTCTACCCGAAATATCATGTCAGGAAGTGGATAGTCTTTTCCCCCAGAGTACAGTGGTGACCCCTGTGTCTTCCAAGTTCCTGCAGCACTTTTTTCCTCTCAAAATGGAGAGAAAAAAACTGTACAGGCGCCATTCATATATTTATATCTATTGTCTTTGCATGACGGCTAAAATCAGAGTTTGTTAGTTATACCTGTAGGATCCATACAACAAAATATTTGAGTTCAAATGCGATGATTGTAATAACATTCACACACACACTCACACACACCACACACACACACACACACACACACACACACACTCAAACAGGAAATAAACTGCAGACTTTCTGTGTAATCTCTTTTAGGTCTATTGGTCTGGACATAAATCAAAACAGGGGTCTGGAAACATGCAATAAATGTCCATGTTGGAAAAACATAAACTTGTTACCAATTAGTGTTAACTGTGCGCTCTGGCAAATGCAAGCCCTCATTATAATGACCAAAATCATTTGGTGTATGAACAGTGAAGGCAAAATATATTAAGTCAGCAGCATTGTGATAACCCTCACTTGTTTTAAGTGGTTACTGTGCCAAGCCCGGCTTGTATACAACTTGAAAATGGCAGATACCAATTGCATTGGTCTTCTACTTGGATAAATATAATTAAACCCATTTCCCTTTGCCAGTAAGCCCTATAACGCAATGTTTGTGGTCTTGATTATTTAAAGCCAAATTAAATTATTACCCCACTTTGAACTTAAATGACATCAGATCATTAAATAAGTAACATTATTAAGGAAATTGGGTGATTAAGTTGTTCAAATGTTATTGTATTTCCATCCATTTATTCGTTTCTAAATTATTCATTCACATAACTGCAGGGTGGAGGACATTTTCAGATCCTTAACTTAAGTAATAGTAGCATTAAACAATAAGAAAATACTTCAAGTGAAGGTACACGAAAAGGTCCTGCATTGAAAAAGTAGAAGTGTAGAAGTATTAGTATTAACTTAAAGCATCAGTATGCAGCTGAGCAGCCCAAGTGAATATAATGCAATTATATACAAGACAGTAATGGATAAATATAACCGACATGTAAGATACATTTTTATGTTGAGCTGGTGAAGAGTGGAGTAAAAAGTGTGTAGTAGTGTGAGTATAAAGTAGCATCAAATGGGAACACTTAACAAAAGTACAAATACTTTAATACCGTATGTAAGTACTAAGAACAAAACTTAAATGTACTTAGTTACTGTCCACAAGTGCATAATATTTCTACTATGAATCCACAATCAAAGGCTCGTACAGCAGCAATGTGAAAGGTTGGATAACAGTTTTAAAATATGTGCAACAGCACCACCTACCGTTAGTTACTCGCTTCTACAACCCTTAGCGTTAAATTCAAATGCACTTTATTATATCGACAAAATAAGTAATTTCTTTCTGTTTCCTCTCAAATAACAAATGGTAATCAAAGCATTTTTTTTTATGTAAGTATGTTGTGATATTTTCAGTATGAGTTGAGTTGAATCTGCGGACGGGGAAGTGAAAAACAACCGGATCTGAACGAGGCAGGAACCCACGTGTTCAGCCAGCAGGGAAGCACTAGAGCAGGTTTCAGTGTCTCTATAGCTTAAGGGGGGGAAAAGCTCTAAATATACCTGCTTTGACTCAACTACTTTACTTTATTACACTCGAGGACATTTTTAAGAATGTCTTCGTTCAGGAAAGCGTTGAAATCCCGGCAGAGAAACCACCATGAAAGATCTCAGGTGAGGATTTCAGTGTTTTGCTGGCTAGCTTGGTAGCATGCTAGTGCTGTTATGAGTTGCTCCTGTACTGTGACTTTCTAACGTTATATATTATTTTATCATCGAGCTAACACGCAGTAATAAATGCTAGTATTGATTGAGTATATCTTGTCTTAACTGTTTGATTTTGCTCGATCAGCCTGGTTTCAGGAAACATTTGGGATTGCTGGAGAAGAAGAAGGACTACAAACTTCGTGCAGAGTGAGTTAAAGACATGTTTTGGGGTTTCCAAGCTTTGGATACAAAATGATCTCTTTTTTTAAATGTTAAACATGCTTGAGGGATATTTTTTGTAATGAGCTCACATTGCCATTTCTTGTTTTATAGTGACTACCACAAGAAACAAAACACTCTTTCTGCTCTGCGAAAGAAAGCTCTGGAGAAGAACCCAGATGAGTTTTACTTTAACATGATCAGCTCTCAGCTGCAGGTAAGATCAGCTTCATCATCAGAGCAACAATAAGAGCAGCTTGAGCCAACAAACTACTGAACAAAGAAAATTCAGTTGATCTCAATTCATAGCTTTTGGTATGAGTGGCTCATTTTGTGGCATGTTGACAGGATGGAGTTCACGTAGCAAAAAAACCCAAGGAAGAGGTGGAGGTGACAGAGGAGCAGAAGAAAATGATGAGGACGCAGGATATTAAATATGTAGAGATGAAAAGAGTTGCAGAGGCTAAGGTAAGTTTATATTTAAGTGTAAAATATGCATTGGGAACCTCTTGTGCCTGACTGACTTAAGACATTGTTTTAAACTTTGGAATAAAAGAACAGAAATTGAATTGATAAGAACTAATTCTTATTCAAATGGCATGGATGTGGTTACTAACTTCTCAAATTGCTCTTGGCTTTTTCAAACATTAACAATAACATGGCTACAAGAGCGAAGAAAAGGCAAAATATCAGTTTCGCGACATCTCTTTCACCTTGTGCAGATTATTCATAATTATATAGCAGACGTTGTTCCCTTAGAGGAAAGCAGAGTATTCGCCAAAAATCAGTACTAGTTTTCCATGAGGTTATTGTTTACAGAGCTTCTACTGGAACTGTTGCACATAGTCTGTGTTGAGGGAAACTGAAATTACAGATGTTTTCCAGCCAATACCTTGGCACCTGTTGTTGCCTGCTGTCATCTTTGTGTATTTATCCTTTTGCTTTTAGAAAATTGAGAGGCTGAAAGGAGAGCTTCATCTTCTGGATGCAGACAGCAAACAAAAAAACAAGCATACATTTTTTGTGGATTCTAAAAAAGAAGGTACATTTAAATGCACATAAGATAATTGATGTAAACAGACATCATTGTCCTTGTGGGCTAGTTATTAGGTTATCTGAGAAGCTGAAAAGTTTTAATGAAAGTTTTACTGTGTCTCCTCAGTGCACTCATTTGACCTGGCAGACCACCTCAACACAGCTCCTGAGCTGGTAGACAGAGTGTACAACAGACCAACTCTGAAAACTCTGGAGACAAAGAGCATACAGGGAGCTGTAGAGCCTCACAGTATGAAGGTCTGTATTTTAATGCACGTGTAACCTAATTTCTTGCGTGTCCCTCCAGAGCCTCTGTCAACTATATGACATATGTCTGAATTGGGAAGTCAAAATGGGGGGAAAAAGTGTCATAGTTTTATATATATTCATATTGTGATGACTTGAGCTGCTTTCTCCTCACTCAAACTGTAGAAGTTGGCCAAGCAGAGGAACCACCAGTATAAAATCCTTTCCCAGAGGATTGACAGAGAAAAGAAAATGTTTGTAATCACCCAGAAGATTCAGACCCGCAAAGACCTACAGGTGAGGAGAAGTGCCATGTCTTTAATCACAATAATCCTTTTGGTGTCAGTTTCATTTGCATTTTAGTGTGAATTGTCAAATCAACGTTAAGATCTTTTTTTACTCTGCATCAGGATAAGAACAAAAAAGTGAAGGTAAAAAAAGAAACCCCCAATGCTGCAGCTATCTACAAGTTTGAGGCCAAGAGGAAACGCTGAGAGGGAAGTAATCATCATGCTGAGAGGAAATCAACAACTTTGCCAGACAGAATATTGTTGCAGCCACGCAGTTTTGTACATATTTATCAAAGACTTTTAGTTTCTTTCAAATAAATATCCAAAGAACATAACATTTTTGTGTTTTTTTTTGTTTTTTTTTTTTTAAAATTGCATATGACTTGTGGTTGACCGAGGCCTCACACTGAATTTGAGGATGTTGTATGTGCTCCGGTCAGCATCAAAATTGTGGCAGTAGATTGTATTCGGTTCTTGTACCAGTAGGTGGCATTAGTGTTCTTTATCACCCTGTTAGAGGAAAAAATAATCTTGGTGGCTGAAGACATTAGAACATGCATAAAGAGTCAACTAAGCTGAATGTCACTAGTATGACCCAACATGTAGATTTCAAAGTGTAATTGTGGTTGTGATGTTTTCTGTAAGATGTCACTGATGTGATCCGTCTTCGTGTGCTCTCTAATAGGTTGTGAACTGAGGACGCAACCCTTCATTCGCATTTCAAACCTGTCATAATAAACCACGATGTTCCATTTCAAATGCTTCTCCAAAAAGTGGTTAAGAAATGCATTCTTTTTCTGCCATAATTTGAAGGACACAACTTATCCCACAGCTCATTTCAAGCGAGTCAGCTGCATTCAGTTCATCCTCGTCGACTCATTAAGTCAGGAAATATCACATGTTCGCACAATTTTCATCACATATTTGCATTGGTAAAAAACATCAAATGGCCACTCCAAGGTGTAAATAATTGAAGCCAGGCATAAACTCCACTGTTTGTTAGCAGCCATGATACAGTATATGTTAGTGACAGGATGTTAGAGAAAAATTTAAGTTACACAGATAAAAGTAACCTGGGTACACATACTTAGTTTTGGTGTCTGAGGCCGGACCGTCTTGTGTAGGGGAGGCACACGTCCATCTTAAGTCTTCAGAGCCTCTGAAGGACACACCTTTGTTGCAGCCTTTGACTTCGGATGCAGGATACATCTCCAACAGACCCTTTTCACATGTCACAGCAGGGCAGACACAGCTGCAGCTAATAAAATGAAGTATGATTTAGGTGTCAGTTAGCAAGCATTGATAATAATAGTATTGTCAATGCTTGCTCATTAACTCACCTTAATCAAAATTACCCATTATTAATTTTATTAGCTGCAGCTGTGCTTATGCAAAAACACCTCAGTTAAAAGGCTCCCTTGAGAGGCAAATGTAACTATTGTTAGAACTACATCTGTTTCTACTGTATATTCTAATTTTGTGAGTTATCTTGATGTGATGTTGCCCCAGATTGTCACAGATCATCAGGTATCACATCATACCCGTACTTCACAAAATACTGATATAGTAGTGATGAATAGTCTGCCTTTTTTATAGCAAATGTTTTGACTTGTCACAGAAGGAATGTGATGTTAATAATCACATCGGCATTGACTGTACAGTTCAGGTGTTCCAGCATGCACAATACCCACCAGAACCTGAAGCAGTTAAATGGAATTCAGCCTTCATTCATTTTATTAATTAACATCAGTGCGTTCCTACTGTGACATGTCAAAATGTCTTCCATGATAAAGGCCAATGAGGATATGTCACTTTCCATGTGTTCCTCACAGGTTTGTGGTCTTCGGCTAATTAGACTTCTCAGGAAAGTGTGTGTATGTGCTGATCAGTTTGCCTGGGTTCCATAGTGGAGCAGGCATTAGCTCAGATGCTTCTTTGTAAGAAGATCCATGGTTTGACTGCCAATAAGATCAGATCTTCAGTGATCCTCCTGCCATCAGTCTTCGCCAAGTCCCTGTCCTGACAACTGAAGTAAAGACTTCTAGGCTCTCCGAAATGTACCGAAGCACCATATTTCAGGCCAAGCAAGCACACTCACATTTTCCTGTATCGTTTTCTAGTTCTTTATAGTGCTATCTTTCTCCATCAACCTCTATGTGGCCATGTATGTGCATGTAGTGAGTAGTAACAAACTGTATGTGTGGTTCCTCCAGCCAATAGTGTGAAATAGACTGAAGGCCTAGCGCCCAGCAGCAGCAGATCACAGTGACCCAGGTTTGATTGATCACTGTGGTGGCAGCAGCTTCATAAACAGGGCCCATCCATCAGCCTCTCCTGGGAGCCACCGGAGGGGAAGAGGGGAGAGAGGGAGCCAGGCAGAAATGTCACCAGGCGCAGTGAGAGGTGGAGGCACTGGAGGAGAGGAACCAGAGGCCTTGGCCCAAACACTGCTGACCAGAGCAAAGGTGAGCCAACACCTCAGGATGGGCCAAAACAAGGAAAGAGTGATGGTTGGTGTCCACTGGTTGCTCTCGTTTAAAACTCATTTAAGAGCTAATGGCACTTTTCTAATTGCAGTAGAAATGTTGATGAGAATGTTTTTGGTATACAATTGTAATATACAGTTTATGCATGCATGTGTGGATTTCACTGTACACTAACTACACAAGCACAAGACCCGGCAAGGTCCTTCAGTGGCATTTCAGTGTTCACCATTCATGTCAGAATTGTGTAAAAGAGTGATTGACATCCTCAGCCAACTCTCCTTCCCTGCTTCCTCACGCCTTCCTCCCACTCTCCCTGCCCTCTGCTACTGCGTCACACTGTTGAGAGAGCGTGCGTGTATTGGGACCCTCGGGCCTAGCGTCCATAAGCGGAGGGGGTGGAGGTCATCGGGGAGAGCCCAGGGGTCAAAACACTATGTGCGCAGTTCCGGGACCCCTATCTGACTGTGCGACCCAAGCACAGACAAGCCACTGTTCCTCCTCAAGCTCTCCTTTCATTCCCCACAGCAACTGGACTCTTACGCCGGGGTGCAGTGGCAGGGCTCAGGGGTGGGCAGTGGGTGACCTTCTGATTTTAAAGATATAGACAGGCATTTCTCTATTGTCAAAAGCCTCGTAATTCATTTGACGACTTGCACAGGCCATCCTGTCCCCCCTCAACGGCATCTCTAAAGTTAATGACCCTGGAGGTTTGCAAACGAAGAGTCATTTTTGGAATTGAGGGGGGGTTAGAAGTGCTATGTGGAAGTCACACAGCTGCAGGGTATGACATTGACCCCGATATATAGTAACTGTTTGAGAGTAAAAGTGTAGCCTGGTTAAGAAGGGGTACAATATAATGGATCTTTGTTCTACAAGTCTAGTTATTAAACAAATTATGGAAAAAACTACTGGCAGAACAATTTTATTTAAAGGGTCAGTACACCCAAATTACCAAAAACACAACACTTATCACACGTGTTATTGACCTTCATATACATTCAGTTTCATTTGCCCAGGTTTTGAGATTTCAGCTGCCCTCCCGGTACAGTAGAAGTAAACTAAATTTCCTTTGCAAAAAAATCAACTCCCCTTTTCAGTGAGAATGTGCAAGATACTCTATATAATCTACAGACCTCATTATGACCTTTTAATTGGAATTAGTTTCTACTGACGAAATGTCTCCATGATCACTGTTGACAGTATGATTTGTGCAATATCCACACTATTTCTGGAAAGGGATGTAGCTGTTAAATTTTTAAAATGTAATATTTCAGTGCTTACCTCATTTGTTTGTGGATTGGGGAGGCAGAAACATCGGAGACCGATACTATATTGGCAAATAAAAACAAAACTACAAAATGTTGTATTGTAATTTTGGTGAACCAACCCTTAGTTTTTAAGCATTTTCTTTGCTATCAAATGATACAGAATACAAATTTATCACAAACAACTCTCACCTCCCCTCATGGTTTTAACCTGGCACTTGATCTTTGCAAACCACAAGTGCTGCACCTCCACCCACCTTATTCACCAGCACAGCTCTGCCCTGCTCCAAAGCCAGCATACAGAGCCGAGGTTAAGGATGGTTAAGGACAATACTAATCGATCCCCCAATTACGGAGAGCTGGAGAGCAAGAGGTGGGGAGAAGAGAGCGGTAGCCTGGGGATTGAGTGTTGGGAGGGTGTCTTAGAATGCGAGGGGTGGGGGGATGAGAGGTAGTCTTTATCTTCGGATCCCTCTCTCCTTTAACTTGAAGCTGGGTGTCATGGGGCTTTTGAAGTAGTGGATAGAGAGGAGGGACAGAAAAGGGGGAGGAGGGGGAGAGGGGGGGTTGGTGTGCGTGCAGGCAGGGTCTCTCTCCATGCCAGGGGGAAGACGTCTGAAGGAAAATCTTTACAGCCTTGACAGTGCCCCTGACGTGTGTGCTTTTTTTTTTGTGTATTTGGATATGTGTGTGTATCTTAGCATGTTTGTGTGTGTGCATGTGTGCCAGAGTTGAATGTCTGGCTCATGCGATGAGGTGGGGATCACAGAGCCCCCTTTTTAAATTGCCGCTAATGAGCCCTGGCTGGCGAGAGGTACTCGAATTGATTAAATTTGCATGGGAGCCTAAATCATGACGGGGGCCTTATACTTGTGCCCCCCACCTCTAGGTGCACATACACACACACACACGTACACACAGCACCTCTGGTACCCCCCACCCCCTACCCCCAACCTCCACATCAGACCTACAGGGGGTATCTCTCTGCAGGAGAGAGGGACAGGATAGAACAGGGGGAGGGTGTGTACATGTGTGTGTGGTGTTGAACGGGGCGTGGAGGGCACCCATCTGCCCCGGTATTACTGTCAGTCCATCATTCAGGGGAATGCCAGGCGCGCGCCTCGGGGACGTGTTCATTACGCTTTAACTACCGGATCTGTCCTTGTCTCACAGCCTCTCCGTGTCATTGTCTGCCTGAGATTGCGTGTGTGTGTGTGTATATTTATGCATGTGTCTGCTTGCATCACAATTGAACGCACCCAGCTATTGTGTATGGGGAGCTGGGGTTGTTTGATATTGAGCAATATTCTGGCAATACACACACTGGACACTGTACTGCATGGGTTTGATACTGTTTTTGAGTTTTTGAAAACTACTCATTATATTAGTTTCCTCTTCTGTCAAGCTCCTTCGATTGTACAATTCTTAGTATCTTAATCTCAGCTTCAATCTGTCGCACAAACACACTCTGCTCTTGCCATGCACGTTTTTGTCTATCGCATTTGTTAGTGTGTTGCTTCTCTAACGGTTACTTGTCTAATAGCAACTATTTGACAATGTGTGATGAGAACTCTTTTTGTGTACTTGTGCGCCCCGTAGCTGCTCAACAGCGAGGTGTTAGAATGAGTGTGCGTGCGTGTGCGTGAGTGTGCGCTGGTGGGGGACAGTGCTTGTGCGTGGTTAGCCTGTGTGATTGCAGTAATCAGATGGGGGTGTTAATCAGAGTTTGTTCGTCAGTGGCCTGATGAGGGGCGATGAGGGCCGCTGATTGTAATACGATGCTTCAATCGGTCTCTCTGACGACTACAGAGACAAACCGCCAAGCGAATTATTATCACACACTTTTTTTCCCCCCACTTTTGGAACACCACAACAGTGTAAACAAACAAGCAAAACACCACACTTCTATATGAGGCAAAGTATGTCACTGGGAAGATGCAGATTCAATTATTATTATACAGGATGTTTTCATTCCAGTGGACACAATGAAGCCTTGTGACACGA